GCAGCTCCTGGGCATGGTTTCCAAGGGTGTGTCCTATGGTCCCATGCAGCATGATGAGCAGCTCCTGGGCATGGTTTCCAAGGGTGTGTCCTATGGTCCCATGCAGCATGATGAGCAGCTCCTGGGCATGGTTTCCAAGGGTGTGTCCTATGGTCCCATGCAGCATGATGAGCAGCTCCTGGGCATGGTTTCCAAGGGTGTGTCCTATGGTCCCATGCAGCATGATGAGCAGCTCCTGGGTATTCTTTCTGAAAACCACTTCTTGCAGGTGGAGCCCCAGAGTGAAAATCCTCCTAAGAGCAGCTCATCCCTCCAGGATACACCATCTATAAGGAGCTCTACCACAGACATTCATCACGAGGACAGGACCTTTTCCCCTCAGGAAACATCTGAACCAAACCTCACCAGTGCCCAACCCCAGAGAGTGACCGCAGCCTCTCCTCCCCACCTATGGGGTGGATGGAAGAGGGTTAAGAGGAGAATAGTGACGTGTTTAAGACGATTGTGCTGCTGTTTGCCAGTCCAAAGGAGAAGCTGCACTTCCCAGAGGAGAGTGGCTCCGCAGGAATGAGGGGACAATGGAGTCACATAAACCAGGTGGAGTGGGAACAGTAGAGTCACAGGAAACCAGGTAAGGGGGACCAAGGTGCACTTCTGCATTTTATTTAATTGATGCATTTTCTAACATCCTTTGTGCCTGCTTCTGGGGCATGCACCTTAAACACTACATCCTGTGCTACCAGCAAGTGAGGATCCGTCCTCCCAACCTGACGTTCCTCTCCTCATGTGGAGCCTGAGAAAGCTGACTAGCAGGAGGCAGCAGAGGGAGGTGACTAGAAGCTGGGAGAAATAGCACCTGGGGAGGCGTTGGCTAAAGGGAGCAAAGGTCTAGAAGTGGGGCGTCAGGTGCGGGCTATGCACAGCAGGGCTGGCACAGTCAACAGTAAGTTCTGTAGGTTTCGGCCACAAGACAGCGCTTTCCATGTGTCTTTCTGCTTTTACATGATGAACCTCCATGGATGCTGAACCTCTGGGTGGGGATCTGCCTGGGGTGGACGGCGACAGTTGCAGCAGGAGGCAGGCAGGATATCTAGGTGACAGTGTCCACATGCCCTGCACAGGCGGCTTTGTCCAACATGGGAGGAGATACACAAACTACCACAGGCTTCTCCCCAGGAAATCCCAGCCGGGAGGAACCTGGACCTGGATAGCATTCCACAGTATTCTGCTTGGAATGGGACTGAGCTGAAAGCCTGCCTGAAGCCACCTGGGGTGAGAAGTGACTGCAGCCCTTACTTGGGGCAAACAATGAAGACAAGTGATGGGATACATCCCCCACCCTGCTCATCTGTCTTTTTCTCATGTGTGAGAGGAGATGGCTTAGAACGTTGGAGGAGCAGTCTTCTCACCACAAGACTGTTACTACCTAGTCTACCCCAACTGTCCCAAGGTTAGCCTGAATGAGTCCACACCCCAAGCAGTCTTTTGGGACAAGCTGCTGATACTTACCAGGGTAAACAGCTCTACAAGGACAGTTTCAGAGACCTCTGGACACAGGTTGTGAGTTCTTTGCACAGACTTTGGCAAGGCCCTTGTCCCTTCGGGGTCTCAGTTCCTCC